TTCTATATCTTTCAGCCGACTCTTTTGCATATCTCTCTCACCCATTTCTTTTCTCTTTTCAATACGTCATCATTCAAGTTCTAAAAAGAGCATAAGTTTCCTCACGAACCATCGAAATCACCATCCAAGCTCCAACTTTTGAAACCTCTCACAGGCTTTCTTACTATTCTTAATGCGCACGCTATCCAAGTTTCTGCTTCGCCATCCTCGTCATTATTTCTGCCGACATCTAAAAATATACGCCCATCCACATTCACTCTTCATTCCATGACCCACGACCCCAACCACGCCCTCTACCTCGCCGACATCGTTCTCGCCGCTCCCACCCTGTACGTCCCTCGCCCGCCTGCCTCCCGGTGCCATATGTCGACAGCCACGCAGTCATCTCTGCTGTGGGCATCATGGCCTTGCCAGCACTCGCCGTTCCGTCAGCCTCCTCCCCCGCCTCCGGCCCCTGCTTTACTTCCCCGCCACCTCGACGCCACGCAGCCACCGGCGCCGCAGCCGCCGCCGCCACCGCCGCCGCCGCCGCCACCCCCTCGCCGCTGTGCATTCCGCGGGGCCCGCACGCTTCACGCCGCTTTTGCGTTTTGAATGCCGGGCTTTCTAAATCGCTCCGCTTTCCCTTCTGCCGCGCGACCGTCGGGCCGTGGACACGCTCATTTACAACGTCCCCTCCGCGCCATTACCCTTTAACATTCCCGGGCGCGCGACCGCAGAGGCGCACTGGCGGCGGCGGCGGCGGCGGCGAAGTGGCGGAGGGCGTGGCGGCGAATGGGAAGGGCCATGTGGCAGCGGAGACGGCACGGCCCCGGTCACGAGTAGGAGTCGGAGACATTCTGGCTCGGGCCCCAGCAACGGCAAGGAACGTTGCAATACTTGTAGATGACAACGTACGATGATAATAGGGGTTGTTAATAATTACACGATTATTGTGCAATGCACACAAAGTGGCGGCAACGGATTGTGACGAGGCAGGGGATAAGGTGGCGGGCACAATGTTTGTGTCAAGGGGTGGTGTTGCCAGAGTGGTCAGGGTTTGGGTGGCGCTCATATGAGCGGCAGTGGGTGTAGAGGCGGAAGAGGTTGGCGGCGACGGAGGCGACAATTGAGGTGAGGGCGGGGAGCAACGGCTGGAGGCGCGTCCGGCGGAGCGGCGTGCCGCGAGGTGGCCGGCTCCGAGCGGCGCCAGCGGACCCGGTGGCGGGGCGGGGGCCGCGGGGGGGGCGGGGGGGGTGGGGGGGCGGGCGGGGGGGGGTGGCGCGGGGCGGGGGGGGCGGGGGCGGGGGGGGGGGGGGCGGGGGGGGGGGTGAGGGGGGGGGGGGGGGGGGGGGGGGGGGGGGGGTGGGGGGGGGGGGGGGGGGGGGGGTGGGGGGGGGAGCGGGGGGGGGGGGGGGGGGGTTGCGGAGAGGCCGTGATGGCGGCCCAGAGTGCTGCGTGGCTGGATATGGTTGCCGGGCGCGGGTGTGGACGTGTCGAGTTTGGCGGCCGGTGGAAGAGCAAGGGAAGGAGATGCGGAGGAATCAAAAGAGCTTGTCAGGGAAAGTCGCTTGAAGGATGACGTGGGTAGGTGGCATATTTTAGATTCGTGACGGTAGATATGCCATCTGGGAACTGATGTTGGTGGTACACTTGTGTCGCGGCGCCTGTGGGCTGGATGCGGAAATGCCGTCGGAACGGCGAAATGAAGCTCCTCCACTCACACGAATTGCTTTGCAACTTCTCGTTCATTTGTAACCAAGAGAATCATCCGACCCGGGACCTTTTCATCTCAATAAAATTGCGCTTGCAATTTTTGTGTTACTTGCAGTATCCAGAGCGGAAATATGAATTTCACGCCAAAAGATTTAAAGAGAAAAACAGAAAAACAAAACTGTAAATGATGAATGAGGCCAGACACTTACGAATGAGATCATTTGATATTATGTATACAAAATGCATGTGTATAAAAAGGTTTACTTTCTCGCAATAATTCACCCCAACGCATTCAGGAAAATCACAAATACAAATACAAATTTAAATTACTGAACGTGTGTATTTTAGGCGAAGCTCATATCCTGCATGGAGAAGCGCAGAAATTTATTGCACTCGTTCTTCATTTTTTTTACGTACACTCTCAGTGTGTTGGAAATAAACAATTCTCCAACGAAGCTGCTTCTGTTTATCCTAGAATTCAGTTGTGATGAAAATATTACAAAACCTACTGAGTAATAGTGGTGTTTGTGGCAAATATATTTTATCTTCAATCCAAGTAGTTTTTTTTCAAATTGAACTCTGTTCTTTAATTTTTAATTTACAATTTTCAAATTCAAGTGTCTTTGCAATCAATGCCTGCCATATCTTATTTAGCAGATTACTTCAGTCGCTGCATTAATAAGCCACTTTAGTTTCTCCACTAATAGATTTACTAAACACAAACATCATCACATAGTGTGTGTATCGGCATGGTTTGTAAATGATACTTGTTTTATGAACGAACAATAAGTTTTAATTAATTTCTCTTATTTTTCTTTCCAATGCTTCTATTTGGGTTTATAATGCGTCGTTCGGATATGTTTACCTGAGATGCGTATCTCCAAAACTTGCTTTATAAGTTTTAGATTTCTGCAGTTTTTCTGATTGTCACTTAACGCCTTTCATAAACATGGAAACCAATAGTACAATCGCTTTTTTCTACATGATTGAGAGTTTTTAATGTTTCATATTATTATGTAATTCTATTGCTATTGGAAAATGCGGTGCGGATTGGAAGAGAGATTTGTCATGTCCAAAATCTGAAAAACGTGAAATATGTATAATATACATTAATAAACCTGCTAGCTTTTGCATTCCTCAAATTTGGCGCCAACTGTAATTCACAATACGATATCCCGATGTTACAAATCGACACTAAACTCAAGTATTTTTATATCCACGCCTCCCAGATGGTTCTTAAATTTCCAAAACCTTGCATATTAACCTGAATGGCAAGCCAAGCCAAGTTTCCTAGACCACGAGAGCTTCTTCACTCAGATCTCAGGATGCAGCCCATTATTATAAGCTTATCGATTATAAAAAAAGGAACAGTTTACTGCAATACATTGCAATTGCTTCTAACTAGAAAACAATGCGTTCTAGGTCCTTAAAACCAGGTTTTCGTCTTCGTGAAGAATCATGAGTTTTGTGGGGATCGAGACTTGGGGAATAAGTGATGGGACGTGATGGCGATAGATTGGGGTCTGACGAATGACAGGTAGTGCTAGAGTTACGTTTCCAAAATAGTATTCTACAAAATGAGTCTTTCGAGTCTTATATAATATTTTTTGGATATTCAGGACTTCTGAGAAGTCCAACTCTGAAGCATGGGTGGTGAGATACAAGCATTGGCTAAATGTTTGTACCATTTGTAATTGAAAAATTAGACAAGTAAAATGCCCCGATAAAATTAAGTGACTATTTCATTTTCTGTGAAAATTTATGTCGACTCTTAGCAATATTCGAAAGTTCCCGCACGCACAAACCTTGTGTATATGTTGTCACGCACAGTTCAGGGAGTGGCCGTTCGAACTTCGGATCCAGTATGAATCTATTTTCGTTTTTAAGACAGAGATTCAAAAATACAAAATATTGGTATTGTGGTTAATTTTTGTTGGCTTTTACAATGAAATAATTAAGAGATGTCATTGTCAACAATATTGTTTATTACAAGAGCAGCTTTCGATGGCTAATCCATTATCATCTGTTTTCTGCTGCGTGGATGTCACAAAACGGCTACGATGATAACTCATAACGATAATGACAACTCATAATTATTTTAAGGTACAGAAGGTTCGCGCGCTTCAGTTGGCAAGAATTTAAAATAATTAGGACTCGAAGTTCATGCTATTGGGTTCGAGATCTGTGATTTGAAGTTCGTCTGCGGTGAAAAAATGTATTTGCATTAAAAACAAAAGATAGCCGGAGAAGTAATATGTGAGCGTGTGGTGCCCAGATGCGTGGTATTATTAATTTAATATACATTTTCTGTAAATATTTTAGAAGATTAATTTAATTTCTTTTCCTTTTTGAGTTTGAGAATTATAAAACTAGAGGTACTCCAACGGCACATGCTTTCTTGCATTATTTCAAAATTTTGCAAAATTGTCCTTTTACGATGTAATTTTTTTGCGACTTGAAAAAATACCGAGTTCGATGAAAATGGGACCAGGACCAATTTTTTTATTGCTCTTAAATATAAGAATTTTTTTAAAAAATTCCGAGCCGTTTTTTAGAAAATAGTTTTTTAATCGTCGCCTACATTTCACGAAAATCACAACTTTTATTTTGAAAAATTGCTCCTGACCTAATTTCAAGATTTGTCTTTAATACTGTAAGTTTTGGAAGACGCCGAAAATGTAAACTTTTTTTACAATTTTCGAAAAAGTAGGGATATACACGTAAATTGTACGAGACCATTATTTTATGTCCTTGACGCTATCCGAGGGCAAATTTTAAAACCGCTATTTAAAAAAAAAATAGTTGAAAAGGTCTTCGAGGCGTCCTGTAAAATATCCGTTTGAAACATACTGGGCGGCGAATTCGTTCAGGTCCAACGGGGAACATCAACGTTGAAGAAAATAGGTTGAACGGACTTGATACTAGCGTTGAGACGGATAGACCGAAGACGACCGGCTATTAAATTGATATTTTGGTATTAAAGACCCACAAAAGCCGAAGCTCACCACATTACGATGTAGAGGAAGTAATTTATTAAAAATGGCAACGATGAATGACGAAATTAATCGTGATGCATAGTCAAGAAAAAAAAAATGGAAAAAAAGGAAAAGCTCCCTTTTCTCCACACAATTTCAGTCTTGAAATTTAAAAGATTTAATTGAAATTTGCGGGATATACGGTTGCGCTAACGGGTAGGGCAGGAAGTCGAAGAAGAAATTTGATGCTATAAAAAAAAAAAAAGTTCTAAGACTAGACTAATAACTTAATGAACAATTGGAGCTAGGATATTGGAAACCGCTGGGCCATGAAATTTAAGAAGTAAAGTAAACAAGTTTACATTAAGTTCTTTAATGCTCATAAAAAAATGTAACATGCAATATAAATTAGAGTATTTTCGACAATTTTAAAACTATTTATAAACAAATACGATATAGCGTTTTTCAGTTCCGAGATCCTCCACAAACCATTGAAAAGGATCGTGCAGTTGCACGGGGAAGCCAGCACACGCAGCTCGTCACACGTTCCTGAGCGCCGTAGTACACCTGTAACGATGGCATAGAAAGTTAGAAACTACGCCAGTTAAAGTGTGCGAGAAGAACTGCTCCGCCCGTTTTACCTGGCTGGGACGCATGGACAGGCACGGAAAGACCGCCTCAGCAACGTCTAGGGCCTTGCACAGACACCAGTCAGCACAGAACACTGGCGCTCGGCACACTACAGCCACCGGCCTGCACACCACGGCAGCAAGCAAGGCCGACTCCTCCCCCACCGATAAGGCCCAGCCCACCACCGGGTAGGTCTTTGCGCTGGCATACGCGCCCAGCAGAGCCTGCACCGCGGGCAGGCTACGCACGCGGTGCGCAAACACACAGCAGTTGGCCGCCGTCTGCGCGGAGGGGAGCCCGTCCTCAGGTAAGGACAAACACAAGGTAGAGGACGAGGTAGAGGCGGACGAGGACGGCGCAACGGAGCTGGGCGAAGAGGGCGGCAACACGTCCCTGGCAGGGCTCCTCGGCTGGGAGGCCGCCTGAGCCTCGTCCGTTGCTCCCGACTGCGCTGGAACCTGAGCCGCGGCGAGTGAACTGTCCTTCGGCGACTGCATTGCGCTGCCGGCGAAATATTGAACTAACATTAAACACAGGTACAATAAAATCAAACATCGCTCTAGCAACACCGCCATACTTACAACCAAATTACTGATTTACACGTCCTTGTCTGTGGAGTCACCGAAAGTGTACTGCTGAGTAAGCTGAAGAGATCCCCTTTTAAAAGAAGTGGATCGCTGGCCAGCAGTTGCGCACTCGCATTTATCTTCCCCTGGAAGCCAATAAGATTCCGAGGTTTCGTTTCCAGTGATTTGCGCGCAGCGTTGTGGTGTCGAATTATAGTATTCTCTCTATTGTTAATATACGATATTGAAGCACAATGGAATAAGGAAGTAGGTAAATATAACAACATATTCTTTGTTTTTTCTTCCTCTTTACTATAATTGTTCCTATTTACAGGTCACTATACGTCGATATTTCGGCATTGTACGCTATTTAATTATTTGGGTATATGAAACTATATTTGAATATTTTATTTATATTAAATACTTCTAAGTCGTATGCAAGTGGGCTCATAACTGTAACTTAATTGCAGATAATGGACGTAGAGAGTCTTGTATAAAATGGGAGCATTTGCCTTCATAAAATCACATTCTTTTATTAGAGTTTTGATTGTATTATGAATTGTTAGTATGAATAACGTATTTCTCTACAAATATAAAAATTTCATATTCATATTGCAATAATAATTATATTTTATATATAGCGGTAATAATTATATTTTTATACCCGTAATTGAAAAATGTGTTATGGATATTGCGGTACAGTAATACCGGGGTAAGTATTTCAGAAATTGTCAGTACTGTAGAATATATGAGAGTCTGAATTATTTGCAATAACCGCATAATTGTGTTCCTGTTGTTTTCAGAATGAACATCATATTTCAATATGCGTGAACTGTTATAGCGCCTAGAAAGCTTTAAAATGTTTTTAGAAGAACTGATAGTTTTTCGCTGTATATTGTTTTATACTGTATATATTGTATGACTCATATTGTTAGTCAATTGTGTTAAAACTGCTACAATCATACTTTTCATTACAATAGTAAAATGTTATTTTATAATGCAATTCACATTATTGTCAAAATTTGCTACTATGCAAATTTATTTCTCATCTTATTTAGCGGTTCAACCGCATGTGCGGAGAGCTCATGTAATACGGTCTACACAGTAATATCGAACACAGTGCGCAAGTACAAGTGTTCATACACTCATACGCTCAAAAAGCAAATGAAACTCTTTCTGCTCTGAGTTTTCTTTCATACGCTCAGAAGTAGACTCACTCCGCACAACGATTGTTTGATGGAATGATTAAAGCATCAGGACGCGTCTACTGTATTCAACTGTCAACATTATTAGTCCCGTCAGTAAAGTTCATGTTTTTGTCATGACAGGTGACCGTGGTGGTGACCGATTTCCCGCTTGATGGTAAAATCCGTCCCGACCCACACATTGACTTGCGGGATTCCCCTAACCAATGTCTCCCATGTGCATGTGAGTGTAAGTAATAGGTAAAACAAGAAAGAGAAAGCGTGATCGGTGGCCCGTTTGTTACGGTACACCCGTTTGTTACGTTTGTACGGCATTCACCTGCCGTAAGCCTAAAACGAAAATGAATTTTTATTTCTATTATTTATATATTTTACTAACTTTGAAACGGTTTTTTGTATCTCACGATTTAATTATTGGTTATTTTAGTTATTATTATTATTAATATACTTTTGCATTCAAACACCAACATATTTGCAATTTATCCATAACCAGTATTGGAGAGTATTTTAGGTCTCTGAGCGCATCGAGATAGTTTTGTAGTTTTCGTTGATCCGTAGATTAAGTTCTCGTATAAGCTTAGATGATATTTTCTTTTCGTGCGCTCAATAAATGAACCTTTCATATTTTTTACTTCATACAATGTTTTGTTTTAGAAATAAATAATGAATAAATATGCTAAGTAATCGGAGAACAAATATTAATTTTTCCAGGGAAAGCATTTCCAATGGCTGACAATGTGTTAGCGTTCCATTCAGCATTTGTGTACTTGCAACCGCGGAGGCAACAGTCTCGACCGTTGCCTGGCAAAGGTCACTGATTCCGCAGTGTTCCATACGAATATGTTTGATACCGCAAATTCATTTGTGTGTTGCTGACATCAGTACTACTTATATTGTAAACATGCACTGATTACAGTTTAAAATTAATGGTGATCGTAGAATGAGAATTATCTCGTAATGATTCCTTTTTGTTAACATGGAATTTACTATTATAATATTTCCGTGTGCTTATGTACAGTGTTTATAATCACAGACTGCAATCTCATCTGCCATCTATTTTACAAATTTCTTTCATTACGTAAATCACGTTGTGGAAGGTGTGTGAAATTGTGGAGAAACCTTAGAATGAGCTCTTCATGTTGTAAAGAAGTAAATGAATGTCGCTCGAGTTGGAAGCAACGAAGGCCGCCTACAGTGCTTCTTTGTAGAGGTAAGTGGTTAGTTTCTCTCGATGAATGCTGCCGCTGATTTTAATCCCGATTAGCCAGATGTACCCCTCATTTTCGGTACTTATTATGTTATTTCAGACTGGTAGTTGTAAGCTAAATTGGAGATCACTTAAGGAAGCCCATTACGTTAAGTATAATGGTTAAGTGAGGTTATGGAAGATACGAGTGCCGATCTAATTGATATTGTGAACAATTTTTGCAGCAAGTAAAACTTGAGATATAAAGCAAACTTACGACACTTTCATTTAGTATTCAATTTTTCTGAATGAATTTTCTCTTACTTCTCTTACTCTGATGCTAATCGATGCTCACTAAATTGTATAAATTAGTCTGATTATACGAAACTGGGGGAGTTCAGAGCCTTCGAAAGTTATATTCTACTGCAAAAAGCTGCTGCTACTGCTACTACAAACACTACATTGAATTCGTAGTTTCCTGCTGGGATAAGAAAATATTATAACGTTGCGATTTATACTGTTCGCCTACAACATACTTAGAAAAGATACATTATAATAAAAGTATAGTAAATATAATTGTACTATTACAATATTATAATACAGTGGTAAATAGTATTACAGTGTATACATTGAAAAAGTATTCGTACATCTCAATATTTTATGACCTGTAATGTGCTACAAAACTTAAACAGTAAGAAGACAGGACTGTCCTTCGTTATAATATTCCCGTCAAGGCAGAAGGTACGGCAACACAGAAAAGTGTCACAAACTGGCTAGGTAGACACAAGAGTACTTCTATTATATCTGTATTAAGTATTCGTACACTGGCCTTTCTTGTAATGTTTTATTAACATTATTGCTTGTATATCTAAAGTCAGCAACGTAATCTAGGAGTCATGTAAGTGTCTCAGTAGTATTGTATTTTTCTCTCACTGATTATTATCATGTCATAATAAATAACACTGGCCTGCGTTTTAAAAAAGTTTGATATTGAAAATTTTTCTACGGTTTTTATAGGAATTGACCTCGCTAAACTCGAAAATAATATTAGTTTTCCTCAATCACGTCTGCTAGGGATCCTTTGACTACAATGCATACTGTTTTTACCATTGGGATATTTTCTGTTTATATAGATTCAATAACTTGAGAACAGACGTGCCAACAACAGCAGAGTATGTGAAGATTACTATTAAGTGAATTAAACACAAAATAGTTTCAGCGCAACCTTTGCTAATAGAAAATTGATACCCTCGTTCTAATAAGGAAACAAACAAAATGTTACAGACATAAAAAATGACGCAGATCGCTGTAATCAATTGAAATAGGATGAAAGAAAAATGAATTTACAAACAGAATGAAAGAAAGATTATCATTAGAAATTCTAATTCTTTGTCGCTGTCTCAGATGTCTAAAACGGTAGGAAGGTAAAAATCCACCATTCAGATAAAAATTATTGAAAGGGTTGGAGAGACAAAATTGATGAAAAATGAAGAAGAGCACTTGTTCTTCTAATTGAACGTTCAAGTGAGGAAACATCAGGAAGTTGACAAATGACTCCATAAGAAGTGCTTGAAAAATTAGTTGAACAAAGACCTTTAATATGAGTTCATTCATTGTTCAAAAAGTTTTTATGTAGCCATGATGATTATTGTACAAAAACCAGGCCAAAATCAATTGTTAATCCAGTGAATAGGAGAAAAAGTTGTAGAATATGTTAAACATGATAAGACGTGTAGTGTAGAATTCATAGTTAAAATTTTATTTGCTGATGATGAAAAATACACGATTTCTCAAGATCAATATAAGAAAAGGTGGATGAAAGATGAACCACCTTCACGGTAAAATATCGTCGGTCAAGGTGGCATTGCGATTATCATAAACATGATCATTTAAACATAAACATGGTTATGAATCTTATTAAAATGTATTCTTATTCGTATTTTAAATATCATTAAACAATATTATCACACTTCCACAGTCCCCAAATATATAATCAAATCAAATATTCATGATGATACGTAAATAAACTTCCTAAAAGAAAAATATTTTCAAAGGAATCTCTAAATATTAATATTTTGAAAACAAAAAGAGGAAGATGGGCAGAAAAACACCACTTATCTTGTTCATTCTATGTTTAAAATATTAGTGATGAGTCTTGAAATTAATATTAAAGTCAAACTAAATATTTAATAGAAATCCAATCAAATATATGTAAGCAAAAATACTTTTTATGCATTTCAATTTCACAATTTTTATTTATACATACTACATATTATATATTTATACGTTTATGACTTCATAATTATCAAACATATTTTCAAGGTATTTATTTATAAATAGTGCACGAAAGTTATACTATTTTGTTTTACGATATATAAGTAAAACAAAAAAGTATGTGCTGTTTTCGCACTAGGTTGTCTTTCATGAAATGTTATTTAAAAGTAGATCATGAAATGTCAATTAAAACCTCTGAATATTTGAAAATTGCAAATGCAATTGATGAACTTCCTTTTTAGGGAGTCGGAAGTCAAAGTTTTTTCTGTGAGGCAGGTGATGTAGGGGTAATGTGAATGTTGTGCTAAACTTCAGAACTTCGGTTTGAATCCCAGCTTTTAAGAAAAAATATTGTTGTTCGAAATCTCTTTAGCCTGTTCAAGTAGTATTATAATCTTGCGTAGCCCTTAAAAATTAATTCGAAAATACGTACTGTATACAAAAAAATATATGCAGTACTTGCTTTGTTCTGCAACACAAAATCCTTAATGTGTGAATCTTTCACAACAATAATATTTGTTGACTTGATTAAATATCAAAATTCAATACAAATTTTGCCGATTTGTCGTTGTAGAAAAACGTTCAGCTTGATAAGTGGTTTTTATTACAAAACAATAGTCCAGAAAATATTAGTAATTCCTTCTTCAATTTTTGTTTTTATTTTTTTTGCTCTTTTCGTTTTTTACTTCATAGCGCTTCGAGATATATGCTCGTTTTCCCTCTTACACTACCATTCACTTGCTCATTTTCACACCCTCTCACCATTGCTGAAGCTATCAATGGCAGGCAGCGCGGCGCGAGTTTCGTGTATCGTCCTTTCGACACCGACAAGTAATTACCGGCCACAAATTCTGTTATTCGAGTATCGACCTGCATTTGGGGGATGATTTCCCACAGTTGATGTAGTATGAACATTCTGTATCATCGAAGGGGAATTTCCAAATGATCATAGAGGAAAATGTACGGGTAGATGAATGAGAACACAGAACGCCTGAGCTTCGGTAATAATTCGCGTGGAAAAGAAAAGCTAAAGTCGAAAGTGGAAGTTTTGGAAAACACGACTTAACAATACCTTCATCAATAGAAACATCATTTGAAATGAATAACCAGCATTCTTCAAATATCTGTTAATATCTTATCACACAGCACAAATCAACTGTCCTAGTAATTCTGAACAACATAAATATACATTCACACATGATACAAGTGATAATAAATTAATTTCAAAATATGTCTCTTGAAGAAAGTTTGCACAATTATACACAATAGAAATCATCTCAGTTAGAAAAGGAATTCATTCTTCAGCTAATAATATCAGCTCTTAAATTTTACATGACTCGTTATGAAAAAACAAAACAACTGCAACGAAAAACAAGTAGTGCTCCAACAGCACAAACTTTATCGCATTATTAATATATTTTCAATTTTCGAAAATTCAGAGCGTTCAACAAAAATGAAACGGGCAGGTTTTTCAACGTCACTAGTTCTATCTGTGAAAAAATTTCAACAAAAAATTTAGAGTGGTTTTTGAGATTGTTTAAAAATAACTTACTTTATCTTCCAGCAGAAATGTTGCGAAAACTATTAACTTTTAAAAAAAATTGTGAATAATCTTTTCTAAAGATATCAGTTTTTGAATAGATTTTGTATTTTCTCTCTTTAAAACTGTAATTTTGCAATGTTACCTTTTTGCAATATTTGAAAATTCAATGTTTGCCGGAAATGGAACAAGTTTAATCTTTTTTACCGTTCTTTGACTCAGTCGAGGAGAAAATTTAAAAAAAATTTGGAGCCATTTTTGAGAAAATAATTGCATAAAAATGCTTAAATGTAACGCAAAATTACGTAAAACCTACTAATATTTTCAAAACAGGATACATGCAGTTATTTTCAGATCTGTCTTTTAAAAATAAATTCTATTAAAGAAAAGAAACTATCTTCAATATCATAGTTGTAGAAAGACGCCGAAAAAATTGAACTGATGAGATTTTGGAAAATTGAGGGATTTCAAGGAAAATTAAATCTTAATAATAAAAAAAATAATAAATGTTTTGAGGTCTAATGCAAAGTACCCTCAAAAACAAAAATATGTGTTTCAAACCCGGAAGGTCTTTCAAATCGATTGAGGAATTTCTATTTTGAAAAAATCGATTTAACGGCTAAGGTTGTCTACAGAGACGGACACAGGTATTGACAGAGGTTTAGACGTCTATCAATTTTTCGGTATCAAGGACCCACAAAACATGGATTCTGAATGCTTTTCGTTAGCAGGGCCCGACAATAAGATTTTTTCTGTAAAGAGAATTTGCAGTTTTCGGGCGCACGATTATAACATTTTCTCTTATACGAAGTAAGGGGGTAAAAACAAGTAATGGAATTTTATTTTAGGAATAAAAGTTTAAAGAAACATATATAACCCGTTCAGAAATAATAACTACTATTATGAATTACTGATAATAAGAATATTTCTAAAGATCAACATATGCAAGAGTTTAAGGGCGCCAAATGAAATAAATTAAATGATAAAATACATTCAAAGAACAACTTGAAACATTATGGAATATTCTTAATAATGGAAAAAGTAAACGTTATAAAACGTTAACATACTACATAAAACGTTCTGGCAGTCTGAAAATTATTTAATATTATTAAGTTAAATTCATTGCTTTCACAGGAGTGCCGCAGAGCTCTGTGCTGGGACTATTGCTAATTCTGATATATGTTAACTATGCTTCAAGCTCCACAGATGT